GACAATGGGAGAAGGTGTCCAGAGCATACACTTGGGAGGTCGTCTGAGTCTAGTCATCACAGTTAAGCTTCAGTCTCAGAAGCTTCAAGTTTATTTCGGTATCAGGCTTTCTCAGCCTCAAGCTTTCTCAGTCCCATTTTGTGGACACGACAAAGCCTGCTGGTAATCATAAGATGTTCATGTTCACCCCAAAACCTTCACGGAAACTTTGTATTATTTTGGGATTTCCCAAGTTACTCAGAACTAGACGCCTTGTTCTGAATTGTAGTCTGAAATGTGGAGATGGCTTGAAGTTCCATTTCCAATGTCATAGTAAATGAAGAGATGCTGGAACTTGGCTGGACCCCACTGGCAGGCGAAGGAATTTTCTTGCTATCTTCCCTCACTCTTGCCCTCATTCTTATCCGCGACAAATTCAGGCACTAGTTGGCCTCGCTTGAAAAGTCCACAGGATCAAGATTTGTTCAAGGCTTCAGGATCACGCTGCGCTGTCAATAAATCAAGCAGATACATACTTGGCTTGATACCTAAAGCTACTCGAAGTTGCCTCAAATATATCTGAATCACCAGTGAGCATAGTCGAGCCAGCCCGCATTCACGAGAGTGAAGAGCTATCATTCACTTACGTGCGTCTGTAAGTAGAATCTTTGAAGGGAGCACCCAAAGAGGACTCGCATGCGGATTGGAGGTGGCCAAACCTATTCCAGACTAGATGAAGACGCTCACATGCAAATGCATCGTTACTTTTTGGACTCAATTATGCTTCGATTCAACTTCGAGGCCATGTAACTTGTTCCCACTGGGTGGCTGGTTGCAAATAAACGCAATCGCTGATCCCTATCTGTGTCTATCTGTGTTTAATGTGACGCCAGATTGCGTGCAAAAATTGGAACCGCGCTACAATCGAATCAACTCACCTGTTCAGGGGCAATGTTCCTCGTCTATGTTAGGTTGCTTAGAAGAAGTTTATGGTGGACAAACTCCAAGTTTCCCAACCTTACTTTCTAACCATAAAATTGACTGCCCCGCGTGCCATGTTTAATACATTTCGATTCCTCTTTACCATGTCACTTCAAGTCGAGAAAGTGTTAAATAAACAAATTATAACCAAATGATTCTTATATTTTCGTTCACTATAAAGGTTGAGGTGAGACTACCCTGATTTTGCAGTTCCTTCACCATGGCTTTTGGCATTGAACCATTCACTAAAGAACTCAACCTTCCTCTTCTCAGTGGTCAGGAGCCCGAAATCGTTCCAGCGGTGCTGGTACCCCTCCCGAAGGATACCAATGCGGTTGTGTTCGGTGTCAGTGACTACTGTTCTCTGTTGCATGAATGCCCATTGATCACTCACAAATACTTTCTCTCCAGCAACGCATTGCGCTGTGGCCTCAACGCTTCAACTCTTACCTTCTTAACTCTAGCGAAATAGTTGTCGATCCTCAAGCCGTCTGGGATGCTCCAGCTGAAAGCAGTCAATTTGCGGTCACCACCATCGTTCCTCCCGGTTTTGCAGCGGACAACAGGTTCCTTTCTGTTGGCCCCTTCGAGGACGATCGCTACATAGCTATTGTTTGCTCGCACAAGAAAGCTGGTCAAAGCCGCTATGCACCAAGCACCCCCACCTTTAGCTCTGTGCGTTCTTCATCAAGTCATTCTAACTTCATTGAGGTGAACAAATGCATTTTACAGAAACATTTTAATATCGAGGGTCATAAGGCTCTGTCGTTCACAATGGTGAGCATGATCCGATAATTCGAGGGACAGGCTCACGCTCTGAGTACAGGTTAATGCCGAAGATGGCGGTGATACCGACTATCATGACACTGTTGTCGGGGTGGCCGTAACATAGTACGTCTGACATTGTTACATAAATGTTACATTCTGAACTCACCGGAACCTCTAACATGTTCTCCAGCACAACTAAAGGACTGCTTTAGAACTTGACTGGTTGAATATTGTTGCAATATTGGTGTTTCATGTACTGGGGAATTGTTAGGGAACATACAAGTGAAAGTGAGCTCTATGAGAATGCACGATTGTATTTGTATTTGTTCGTACCGCTACTAGGACCTAAAAAATACATGCAGATTTATGACAGTGGAGGAACGAAGAAATGAAAATGATATTCACAGGTGTACATGTGAATAAATATCAGCACCTATCATGCACCTCAACGTCCGGTTACACAATATTCCGTGGGGTAAGCGAATATCCAGAGTCAGCTCTGTTGACCCACCTATGTGTAACACATTATGGTTAAAGATGAAATCAACATGAAATAAAGACAAAACTGGTTTGACGAACCGTGCCAGCAGACGGCAGTGGGATAGTGCTATGCGTATATATGATGATTCTCTGTGTGTCACAACACTGCGCACTCTGTCTATTCAGATAAAGCGATGATATTTTGAATGTATGAGATGGGACAACAAAAGTTCATCACGACGTAAAGCTTCCTCCACTCAGCTTGCAATCTCGGGTTAACGAGATTAACCAACTCTTCCGCTGAAGCAGGAGCGATCTCCGAAAAGCTTGGCATGACTTCTAAAACAAAAAGAAAGCTGGATAAAAACGAGATCGAATGATGGAACACAAGTGGGGGTATCAAAATAAGGCATATATCATAACTCTCGTCGTGGTAAAAGCTCGTAGAACTTGAGATTGAGCGTGAAGGGTATTGGGCGGAAGACAAGGGTGTCCAGGTGAATTCGAAGTCGGCGGGATGCTCAAGTCCTATTATTCCATCCACAACGGTGACTATAATAGTCCTGCCTCCCTCAAGTGAAGTTGGAGGAGAATATCTTGAATCGCAGAAAGAACGACTGGCAAAGAAAGGGAGGGAATATTATAGTTAGTTATAGACGAGAAAAAATCAAGAAACGACGCTAGCCCGGAATGAAGGAACGGTCGGGAAAAGGACTCACATTTAATTTGCTGCGTATCTGTGGCACACGTATAATGCGCATATACCTGTTTCGTTGCTGCACTCTGGTTTAGGCTTACGAATCTGCGTAGCAGATATTCGCAGGCGGCGTCGTAGTTGTTTCCGCCCGTGTAATCCGGGAAGTAATCACCTGGAAGGAAGGAAGGAGTTGAGAAAATCGTGTGTCAACTAGAGGAGACACCAACCTAATGGTGATCTAGGCAGCTTTTCCGCGAATAGATCGATTTTGTTGAGGAAGAGGATCTATAAGAATTTACATGCATTAGTCATCGCTGTAATGTGAAAAAAGGAGGGGTAGCTGTGGGGGCAAAGAGAGAAAAGTAAAAAGTGACTGGACGTTTGGATGACGGGCAGAAACAGAAGTGGAAGGAAGAACAGAGGTAAATATCGAAAGTGGATGGGGAGGCAGGTAGGAGCTGGAAGGGGCAATATACGGGAGTCAACTCACAATCGAGGTCTTGACGAACCACCGGGAATTACATATTGAGTCGAAGAGCGTGAGGGCTTCTTGCATACGGTTCTAAATAATATCTTGATCAGTGATACAGCTTTTGTCCGGTCGGATGAAATATATACCCACCACGCTCTCATCCTCATACAACATCTGATCGTACTCGCTCAGAGAAACCAGGAATACCAATGCAGTTACGTTTTCAAAGCAATGTATCCACTTTTTCCGTTCAGAACGTTGACCGCCAACATCGAAGAGTTTGTACGTAAGTTCGCCGACCTGCGAAGGGTAGTTTTAAGTACTGGTAAAGGATAGAGTGGCAACAAAGGATCGCACTTGGAACGTCGTCTCCGTGATACCCGTAGTTTTCACTCGTGACCGAAGTATATCTTGGTCGCTGGGCATGTACCCCTAGAAACAAATCCAAATTACATTTAGACAGCCATTTGATAGGACAGGAACCCGAGCACATACCGGACCACTCATTCTATCGATACTGTTAAAGTAATACACTGCCGAATCATTCAATTGAAACTCTCGACTCCTCTTCACTGCCTCCTTCACAGCGGGATCGCTCCAAAGCCCTCGAATGGAGTCGCCCACATCCCGAGGCATGACGTCTACCTCTAACTGCACGGGAAGAGAAAGGATTGTGGCTCTTCGAGCGTCGTTGGATGGATTGAGAAATAGGTCGAGGGAAGGCATGGCGTCGAGAATGGCACGCATGGATTGGATGGTATTGGAAAATATGATTTCCTTGTACGAGTCACGTTCGGAATCATTGTACCCGCCGTGGTGAATGAGCTTCATTTGTTTGAGGACTGTGGACTGGCAAAGAGTGAGACGTTAGGTGAGACTCGACTCGAAAGGGTGTTGAGGTGAAGAAATGGAATAAATGTCATTGTGAGGATGGCCAACAATTGGAACAGAGGGAATGGGCTGATTTTTATTTGGAGCAAATATAGATGGTGTTATAGAAAGAACAGACGAAATAAAATACCTTCCCAGATTCACCAGCCCCAAGAAGCAACATCTTGATCTCATTCTTCGCCATCATACGGTCCCGGCGAAGTTGATTCTCAATTTCATCATTACCTGTGGTCACGAAGGTTGGTGGCAAATGTCGCACGCACAAGAATGGAAGGTTGGCAGTCGTCGTTGGGTAAGAAGGTACGGCGTCGCGAGAGTGAATGGACAAAAAACAAAGCAGAAAAAACGCAAATATTCGTGAGGAATGATAGACGAGAAAAGATATGTGTATGGCACTCACGAGCCTTGGCCTCGTCGTCAATGCCAGAAGATTGCGCACACCCCATTATTATTGAGCAGTGTGATATTTGAAAATGGTAACTTCACAAGGAGGTACTGGGGGAGTGGGCCGGAAGGTATTGGGAAATAAAGAATAAACGAATGAACGACGTCGAGGAGCAACGGTCGTGACTGTAGCGACGAGCGCAACAAAAATTACGGATGACAGTTGAAATGTTAAACGGCGTATGCCACTCGGGAACGTAGAACACTCGGCCGCCGAGGCACAATATTTATCACGTGAGTCTACAACTAGCATTCCAAAAAAAACAAAATTCATAGGACTCTACCTCATGATTCGACCCGGGCTCGAACCGGGGACCTTCTGTGTTCCGCAGTGTTAGACAGATGCGATAACCAACTACGCCATCGAACCATATGAAAAATGACTGTACATAAAGTAAAAATCATAGATTGGATCTCTCAGAATAGTCGGCCCGCAAGATGAGTCAATATCCGGTCAGATCACGTGCACCGCGTCGTTGAACGACACCGCGAGAAATTTTTTGGTTTAAAAAGCAACCCAAAAGTCAGTCGTTTACTCAGTGCCACCACCACCATCATCTTACCTTCAAACCCCCACTCATTTTGCAAATGTCTACCACTCCTACGCGTTACCCTTCTCCTGGGCCTACTCCTAGCAAAAAGGTGAAGATTTTCGTGCTCTATCCGCCTTCGTGTGGACTCAGTTGTTTTCACAGGCTGCCGCTGCCCTAGCTTCATTTACCTTCGACTCGCCTTCTAAGAAAGCTACGAAGAAGGCCGTTGTTGACGACAAACGTCGCTCTACCTCACCGGCTTCTCTAGAGGAGAATGAAGAGCAATGCGTGGAAGAAGAAACCACTCAGACCACATCCTCTGAGGAACTCGCTGCTTTGCACAAACGGTTCGTTGGAGAGGTCGAATTGCCAGAGAGTACGCGTGGTCCTCTAGGACTCTTACGCGTCAATTGTATTAATCGTCCTTTCAGGCGAAGAACCACTTTTGTTAGAGTCAAGACGTCGTTTTGTGTTATTCCCCATTCAATACCATGAGGTACGTCTAGATACGCGTCTGATTTACTCTAGAGGCGTCTAATGCATATCTCAGATATGGCAAATGTACAAGAAGGCCGAGGCCTCTTTCTGGACTGCGGAAGAAATGGATTTATCAAAAGACCTTCATGACTGGAGCAATCGCCTGAATGACAGCGAAAGATTCTTCATCTCCCGTGTCCTCGCGTTTTTTGCCGCCTCTGATGGCATTGTTAACGAGAATCTTCTCGAACGCTTCTCGAATGAAGTACAGGTCGCTGAGGCACGTTGCTTCTACGGGTTCCAGATTATGATGGAGAACATCCACTCTGAGACTTACTCTCTTCTCATCGACACATACATCAAAGACCCTGTCGAACGTGATTTCCTTTTTGATGCTATCGAGACCATTCCTTGCATCAAGCGCAAGGCCGAGTGGGCTCTACGCTGGATTAGTGACGAGCACTCGGTTTTCGGCGAGCGTCTCGTAGCCTTTGCTGCTGTTGAAGGCATTTTCTTCTCTGGCTCCTTCGCGTCCATCTTTTGGATGAAGAAACGTGGATTAATGCCTGGCTTGGCCTTTTCAAACGAGCTCATCAGTCGTGATGAGGGTATGCATACCGACTTCGCCTGCCTTCTCTTCAGCCATCTCCGTCGTCGTCCTCATCCAGACACCGTTGAACGTATTATCAAAGAAGCAGTCGCTATCGAGCAAGAGTTCTTGACTGGTGTGTGCTATACATTGCCTCCTTCGCGTTGGTATTTGACTACTCTTTTCCAGACGCGCTTCCTGTAAGCTTGATCGGCATGAACGCGACATTGATGTGTCAATATATCGAGTTTGTTGCCGATCGACTACTTGTCGCTCTTGGCAACAAGAAGCTGTACAACTCGACGAACCCCTTCGACTTTATGGACATGATCTCGCTTCAAGGGAAGACCAACTTTTTTGAGAAGCGGGTGTCCGATTACTCGAAGGCTGGTGTGAACCACTCTGGTGACAACACTACAACACAAGCTTCGAAGACATTGTGCGTCTGGTCTTATTCTATCGTTATACGTCTCCACTAACCATCGTCTCGTGATAGTGTGCTCGACGAAGACTTCTAAACATCGGGGAAACCGCCGTCGTTGAATGATTTCTCGTATTGTAATTTATCGCTCACCCATTGCTATCTCATCAATCAACTTTGTAATTCTCTTTGTTATAATTAGATATGTATCCTCACTAGCTCTTAAATAAACATTCAATACAAGTTTTTGAAAGTAGGTTGCTCGAGCGCTCATTGGAACTATGGAGCGGCGTCAAATCTTGTGATTCACGTAGATAGTTACTCCCATGTCCACGAAGTCTGATGCTGTTCCGCTTCCGCCTGCTAGCGCGAATGTCAAACCGTTGAACTACAGGGAACAATTTCAGGTGCAACGTCACACAACTCGCATGCTGTTGTTGTCCCTCTGCTGAGACCGATATGTATTATTATAGGGCCGTGAAGTTGTTTCTAGGTTCATCGAGTGAGCCTCTCTATCCCGGTTACAATAATCGGACGAATGAACCACTCCTGATAGCCCTTGTGAAGCCGCATCCAAGGCGACAATGGCATGTATGAACAAACACAACTATGATAGAGAAAAATGTCTGGATTATTTCCAGGCTTATAGGGAGTGTAAGAACGCTTGGGTGCGTGTTTTCGATGTGTTGTTTATAGAGTTCATCTAATGCGGTGACTCGTATAGATTGAGCAAAGGAAAGACGATCGCAGAAACGGAAGACCATCTTCCTGAAAGACTCCTCTGGTTCTTTTCGGTTCATCTACGTTCACTCGGTTCACACACTCTTATTCTGCCAAAGTCAACCTCTCTTTCAAGCCCTAAGACAGATTATAATAGTTCGGAGGCCTTGTTTCAATTCCAAAATCATAGATATCACGGTGCAAAGTATTTCACTACGCAAACTCGTCTCCCCCTTTGTTGTTCCTACGACAAGCTCGACACTCCGCTGCGTTTGAGATCTACACCATTTCCAGTCAATTTCATTAGCAGAGGACGGTTAGTTGATTGAGAGGCGTACCGGAAAGATTGATGTTGGGCTGAATTACTGCTTGCCAGACAGTCGTGTATCCACTTGCAGGGATTTGTTTCAGTGTCCGGAGATTGATTTCATTAACGCAACTCACTTTGGACCACCCTCTTCATCGAGTTGACCGGGTTCGAGACTTCCAACTTCTGGGCCGCAGCAAGGGGAGTTTGTTCCCCAGACTGAAGAGATCAATCAACGCGAGTATGCAGGCGGGTCGCAATGACACTTACAAGGACCTGCAGCCCAGGCCGACCAGCCAATATACACGTCGTTTTCAGAAAGGTAGCTGATCAATTGCGGTACCAACTGCGATGCAAAAAATCAGTTTTTAATCCTTACACAGTACGTTAAGCAAAAAAGTACAAGCACACACCTCGAGACAAGTAGGGTCATTGGATCCACCGAATTCGCTGACAATAGCCCTTAGAAGTGGCTTAGTGACTGCATTTCAAGAATCGTGTACAGGACCTACTTGAGGTTGTTTTCTTGAAGCCAAGTCGTCAGGGCAGCCAGGTTAGTGGGACCTATAGCACGACGAAGCATCAGCAAACGTTGTAAACTCACCAGTTTCAGACGCTCACCAGGCTGAGTGCATGTATCGTGGCTGCCTGAGAAATCTTCGTCTATCGAGACACATTTTCAATCAGCGCGTCTATGCCATCTCTCACTACACAGTGAGAAGTACCAAGATATTCATGGATATCAATAGCCGTATTATTCAACGGGTCCACGATTTGATTCAACCACTCGCTCGATGGATCATCGTTAGCACCAGTGACCTGTGTCCAGGAATGGCCGCCAGTGAACCCATTTCCAGGTGCGAGGATGAGTTGCGTAGCGCCAGTAGAACGGATTCCGTTGATTGCTGCTTGGTCATTTTGCAGAATTAGAGAGGTGGCCTGTCAAAGTCGGAGTGGTCGGTAAACACATGTGAAGCAACACAATGAAGTGAAGGAAATGGTGAGCTAGACGAAACATACCATGTCGTGAGGCTCATTGTTAATGCCGAAGACGACGTTGGGGTTGTCGACGAAGCGGTTGGCAAGCTCTGTCCAAAACTCTTGGAATTGTTCAGTGGTAGCTGCATTGGGGTCAGTAGTATCGCCGATGATCTGTTGATTGAGATTCAATGCGTGACTTCCTGAACGGAAATAAAATGATTCACGCTTCCGCTGTTGGGCTGGGAGGATGGGTCACTAAAAAAAGTCCGAGTTACCGCTTGACTGGTTTCAAGATGTTTTGGAATCCTACTTGTATCTCTGTTCAACCAATATTAGCTTTCATTACAAGTAGATGCGAGTATATACCAGAAGCAACTGACCATGTAATTATGAGGATCAATTAACGCATATGCACCTTTGGTAACGGTGATATAGTTGATTGCGTCTTCATATTCACTGAAATACTACCCCATCCATATCAGTCATGTTTTGGAATTTAAAATAACGGAAGAATACTGAACGGTCTCATTGAAAGTACTCCCAAGACCAGTTGCTAGAGGACACATTCTTTCCATCAAGAACGTAACACGGAAAAAGTTGATTTGGTTCGTGTCAACGAATGTATCGACAGTGCTCTGATTGAAAAAATGTCAGAAAAAGGATTTGACTGTAGGAGCCTGGCGTACTTCGGTGATGAAGTCGTAGGTAACGCCAAACTCTCCAGGCAGTCCTGTCCCAGGTGAGCCAAAAACTCCGAATTCACCACCAGACTACGAAACAGGGCTTAAACACAAACAGAGACAGTAATATATCATAGCGGCACCTACCTCGTTGACTCCTGCATAGAGGATGGTCGCTCCTACACAGGCTGCGAGGACAGCCACGATAATAGTGGACTGTAGGACAAGTCGTAACTGTTTGGTCAAGAACATTATGTGGGGGGTTTCGACGGCAAGTTGCTTGGATGTTAAGAATGGGCGGATTCCTTCCTTATAAATTGGAATTCGGAACCAGAGGGCTTTGACGTGTCACTGCACGAGCAACCACCGGTAAGTCTGACCATGGTCCACAATGGCGGCGGATATTTTTCGGATTTGGCGTTGTGCAATTTGGATGCAATATAAAGACATCCGTCGACCCATCCAAATGCTGCCGCGCGGTGCGTGTGAGTGCAATTGCCGCACAGAGACTCGTTTATTGATGATCAGACTGTTTCCAGGCTGATTTTATGCTCTATACAGGCTTGGAAGAAGTCAGACGGTACATGGTCAGGCTAATTAAAGCGCGAAGCTTACCAACAGTTATACCAGTTTTCGATTCGGGCCTGGTTTAAAATCAGCAG